CCATCCCTATATAGGATCCGAATCTGCCAGCGCCGCACTCTCCCGAGTGCACCACGGGCTCGGCCCTGAATGCAGCATTATTACAGCTAACATTTACTGAGTGCTTCCTCTTGGCCAGACACTGTTCTAAGATCTTTATGTATTTTTTTTCCAGGGAGGTCCCTATGAGGTAGGATCTATTATTTTATTAACCCCACTTTACAAACATGAAAACAGGCTCCAAGAGGTGAGGTGACTTGTTTAGGGCTCCAGAGTTAGAGATGGAAGGAGGATTCAAGCCTAGGAATTATGACTCCAGAGCTTCACTACTCTGTTGTTGCCTCCTATGCCATGAAAGGAGGAAAATAACAGGATTTAGCACCTGCTACGAGCTAGGAACTTTTAAAAAGTGTTTTGGGTATGATATGTCATTTAGCCTTCACGACAGCCCTAGGAGGTTGGTATTATTATTTTCAATTAACAGGTCAGGGTCAAAAAGGTAAGAATCTTACCTAAAGACACATGCTAAGAAATAAGAGCAAAGATTCGGCCCTATGTCTACTTGATAAAAAGCCCATGCTTTTCTTATTCCAACCATCTAGCTCTCAGATGATATTTTTTACTTCATTTGGAGAGTTAATTGTTGGCCTTAATAAATGTGTACGGCTCTTGGAAATCATAAAATTTGAAATGTATCCTGTTGCTAAAGCTGTAAAGAAGTTCAATTTAGGGTAATGGGTATCTAAAATTAAAAGAAAAGAAAAGCCTGTATTGAAGAGGGATTATTTTATATTAACACCTAGGTTTTTCCTATAACCTTAATCAGATGGAAAATCCTAAAACGGTGTTCAGGACATCACTGTGCAAACCTTCAAATGAGTGTGTACTCACATGTAAGTTTTGGGATAAGAGGAAGAATCAACACAAAAAGATAGAAAGTCTAGTTCCTCCAAAGCCCAGAAAAATGCCAAGATCTTTGGTGGAGATTTATTCTTTTTTTGATGGAAGCAGCAAAGTCCTCTGCACAGGTGCACATCCTTACTGGGCAAGAGTGTGGTGACTTTAAATAAACCAGGGTCCCAAGTCACCTGGCATGGTTTTCTCACCGTATGGCAGAAGTGAATGCTGCAAAGCTGAAAAGGGCAGAATTGAAAAAAATGCCAAAGGGTCCAGACAGCCCCATCCATTTTAATGACATGCCCAGAGAGTGC